GGGGGAAATGAGCAAACGATATTGAGGGCTAACGTGGAGAGCAAATGTTTTGAGATTGATGAGGGCAACGGGTGTACATAGGTGCTTGACTCTGGATGTATGTATGGACTGTGATAAGAAATGTATGAGCCCTCATTAATAAATTTTTTTTAAATTTAGAGATGTGCCATTTTAAAACTCCGTAAAATATTTAATTCTTAAAACATTTCCTTTCTGTCTTTTGGTTTCTGTAATGACTCTCTACTATGGATTTTTCTCCTGCTTTTCAGGATACTTTGCTGGCCTCTCTTCCTCTAACTGTTACAAACATCTGTGTTCCTTAGGGTTTGCTACCACATCACTTTATCCTTTTCCCAAAACTCCATGCTGGGTGATCTCCTTCATTCCTGAAACCAGAATATTCATTTAATGCTAGTCATTTTCAAATCTGTATTTTCTGCCCACACCTCTCTCAAATTCTCTCAAATTTACTCATATCCTGTATCTCCAGTTGACTCTTGTAGGCATTTCAAAGTTGGCATGTCCACAGTTAAACTCTTAATTTCTTAACATTCATATTATCCCATTACAGTAAGTGGAGCTGTCTTTTACATAAGACTAAAACATAGATTGTCATCCATTGCCCCATATGTAATTTTCCATCACATTTTGTTCAATATGCCTCTATTCATTTCTTGCTGTTTCCACTGCCCCTGCCTCTGTCCTCTCCCTTACACGTAGCCTAGACACTGTTCTTGTTTGATCTTCTGACATAGCTCGCTACAGTCTCCATTCCCTCACCCCATGCTCCAGACAGATGAGCCTGTCACTTGGCCACCAGTGTGACATTTTATTATGGGATATCAGATCCTTTTATTTTCACACTGAAAATCTCCAAAGGCCACACTTTTACATATTGGGGTACAGAACCCTCCATGGCAAAACCCCTGCCTACTTCCTGAGCCCTACTAGGGACCATTCTTTCCTCATTTGGTAGACTCTAGCCATATGTCCTTCTTTCTGGTCAGTAACTGTCCACACTTTCCTGCTTTGGTGCCCTAATGTATACCATTCTCTGTACCTGGAACGCACCTCGCCAAACTCAGCGTGGCTGACTCTTTGGAAAACTGAAGTCTCACCAGTTTCCTTGCATCTCCCCAATGAGCTTTTCTTCATCCACTCTAAATGTGTACATACATTCTTCTCTGGGTATCTGGTTTATGTATTCGATGGAAAATAACATTTGAAAAGTATCCCAACTTGAATCCAGATTTTAAGCTACCTGATAGCAGGGCCTTTAATGTTGATGCACCCTAAATATTTGAATTAGCTAAATGAATCAGAACACAGGGTCAGAAAAGCCTAGTCACTGTTGGTGAAACAATGAATCTCTAGCCTCTCCTCAGAGGAGAAGGTAATGTAATGGTGCAGTGTCAAGATTAGAGAAATGAGTTGGGAAACAAGGGACAAGGCAGATCTTAAGCACAGAGCTGAGCAGTTTGGACTTTGTTCTTATGTACTTCCATCCCAGCACCGAGTTTCAGTAAGACAGGAAAATGAACATAATGATTAACCTGACTCCGGTAAGAGGTCGTCGATGTGTAAGGACATTCTAGACTGATAGCAAGAAATAGGGGGAAAATGGATGTGTGTATGAAATGGTTCAGAAAGAATTTACAGGAGCCAGTGACTGACGAAACACAACAGAAACATCCCAAAAGACCAAAATACTACTTGAATAAAAGGAAGAATCTTAAGAAAAAGAAAAAAAATGAGATGGGGGCTAGTTGAAAGTTACAAATAGTTCAGTTTTATTCATGTAAAGCTTGATGTTGTTGATGCTACTTTCTGTCCAATGGGCTCTGTCTCAATGAAGAGGCTGCCCAGTCCTGCACCCTTTTCATGATTATTGATATATTTGAGTTTATTGTTGTACCTGTTGTGTCAATGACTCATTAAGGGCATCCTTCATCTTCACTGACCCTCTAAGAAACATCATGTCTCTTCAAAGGATTGATTCTTCCTGATGAAGATCCCAAAAGTGTGAAGTCTTATCACCCACATTTCTTTCTTTTTTTCACCCACATTTCTAAAGAACATTCTGACTGTGTTTCTCCAAGACTGACCTGTTCCTTCGTCAAACAGTGCACAGAGTATTTGAGATTCTTTGCCAAGAGAGTTCACTTCTTTAGTCTTTCGTGCTCCTTGTCCAGCGTCTGTATGCATACGAGACAACTGAACAGACCGTGTCTAGAATCCGATGCACCCGAGTCATCACAGCGTGACATCTTTTCTTCTTCAAACTTTGAAGAGGTTTGATTAGGGCTGATTTGCCTGATATGATTTGTCATTTGACATCTTGACTATTATACATTGGAACAGTATTCAACATGAAATAACTATTCAGCTTTCAGAAAAAAATATATAGCTGAGGCCCAAGGATAATTAGAAATGAATTTAAATTAAAGCTTATAATTCTAAAAATAGGCTTTCCTCACAACTGAAGTATTGAGTAGATAGCTTTATAAAGAAATAAAAGCCCATGTCAATATTTATTGTCATTATTCTCACCCCTCACTTATCAACTATTTTGTTATCCTGCATTTCATGTTTATGATGATAGGAAAACATTTATAATTTTGCACACTGCCATTTATCTGGCAATGACTCCCACTGAGCTGGTGCTGCTGCTAGGTACCATTGAGTCTATTCCAACTCAGAGAGACAGTGCAACCTAATGAAGCCCCACCTGGTCCTCCCTGTCCTCACGATTGTTATGGAGGGTGAACCCGTCAATGTAGCCACTGTAGCATTCCATCTTCATGAAGGCCTTCCGAGTTTTTGCTGTGCCCTGTTACTTTACCAAGCATTGGGGGACTGGGCTTTCCTGACAGCATGTCAAAGTATGTGAGACAAAATCTTGCCACCATTGCTTTTTCTGAGCATTCTGACTGAACTTCTTCTAAGACAGTTTGGTTTGTTCAAATCCACGGTACTGCCAATATTCTTCACTAAAACCATAATTGTAATACATCAATTCTTTGTCCTCCTTATTCAGTGTCCAACTTTCACTTGGATATGAGGTGATTGAAAATACCATGGCTTAATTCAGGCACAAGTTAGTCCTCAAAGTACCATCCTTGCTTTTCAGCACTTTAAATTGGACATTGAATGTGAATCCAAGGTGTAAAGTGAGGGAAACCCTGGGTGTGATGGTTAAGATTATGTGCCCCCTAGGCCATAATTCTCAGTAGTTTGAAATCTGTGTAATTATGTAGTTATCTTCCACATGGTAATATGATATGGTTATCTACTAGTTTTGAATAATGTCAGTTTTCCTAAAACATCATTTCTTGCATAATGACTTGGTCTTTGGTACCTAGCCTAATGTTGATGAGAGGGAAAGAGTGAGTACACATAGTATCATAACTACTGGGTTAATTATTTATTCAAGGGACATATAGTATCTGAATTACTACATATGACCCCTCATAACCCAATACTTGACACATTAGAGGTACTTGATGAAAAGTCCTTAAATGGGTAAATGAAGAGAAGAACAAAATTTAGGGCAACAAGTCTGCTTTCCAAGTTTTTGCCTGCCTCCTTTGAATGATCCTTTTCTTGCTCGTTGTTAGAAGACCCCATAAACAACTCTGGACCTGGTGTGATCTTCCTGAAATCCCTTCAATAGCAGCTGTCTAGGAGATATAGCGCTGTCTCTGTTTGACTCGGAGTAACCTTGGGATAGAAGTCAGGGGGTTAGCAACAAGAACTCTGTCTGCCCCAATAGTGTCAGACACTGCAGTGATTAATGCATACGGCAAATGTAGTCTTTCTAGAGCTTACTTTATCCAATCTAAATATTCTTTCAAAGAGGTCTTCTTAATTATAATGACATGGTGTAAATATAAGAAGAAAGAATGTCAATTATCACTTTGTATAATAACAGCGTTAGTGCACATGCACATAAATTATAAGTTTACCTACTTAAAAGCAAGAAAAGTGCTCAGGTTTGCAATTTAAAACTTCTGAATAGGCCAAATCTTAAAATTATGTCATTATAACCAGTGGAAGTCAGTAATCACCTACTAAAAATGCATGTTCTTGAGTAGTTGATGAATTACTCATGAAATTCTTTAAAAACTTATTTGAAAGGGATACTGTGTATAGCTCTCCACATTCTAGACTCATCCAACTTGCTCTGGATATCATTATGTAACAAAGCTTTAGCTTTGCACTGCCCAGTACGGCAGCTAGTAGCCATCCATGACGAGTCAAAGGTAAACTTTAGTGAAATAAACATGGCAGTCATACACTCACACTAACCACATATCAGGTGCCCAGTAGCTACATAGCGCTAAAAGGTATCGTGCTGGACCATGCAGAACAGAGCATTTCTCTCATCACACAAGGTTCATTTCTTTCATCACATAAGCTTCAGTAGGACAGTACTATTCTAAAGAAATGAGCCTGATCTGTAATAAGCTCTACCGTTAGACCATCAAGCAATACCTATATAAGTGTAGGATTTCCTTCCGAAACATCTATCTTGACCCATATTGCTAAAGACATATGAAAGTCACCTATTTCCTAATAAATAATAATCCCACTCAGAGTCAAATCATATTGTGACCACTAGATTAGAAACAATGCCTCACCATTATCAGACCAGGTCCTTATTTGATTGAGTTAGATCTATATTTAGCCCTAAATCAACTGTAACAAAATACTAGCTGGTAGTTTGAAAGCAAATGACTTAAAGGTATTAAACCTACACTCATCCTTTGTATTCTAATCTGCTGGCGTTAAGTTCCTGTCTATAAAAGTAATAACTCATAAACGTTTCAGCTCAGTTCCTGTGCCCCTTTACTGGGTTCAGGATTTGAACAGTCTTAAGTGTGTAGGAGAGTTCATCACCAAGTGTCTGACAGTGCATTCATCAGGAGGGTTTATTGGATAAAGATGAAATCGTAGTCTGTCTGCTCCAGATATTTTATCACATTCTTATTCTTTTGCAGATCACCTACAGAGCTGTCAGTTCCTTTGATCCAGAAATTGATTTATCCAATCAAAGTGGAAGAGTTTCAAAACTCGGCAATGAAACACATTTTTTGTTTTTCGGACTATATCCAGGGACCACATACTCCTTTACCATCCGGGCCAGCACAGCTAAGGGTTTTGGACCTCCAGCAACAAGCCAGTTCACCACCAAAATATCAGGTATCATACATGTTTGATTTATGTCTTTTATCAGAAATTAAATTTCTGTACGTGAAGCTTACCAAACTGCCACATTCTTTTTCAAACTAATACCTGTGAGCATGTGAAAATCAAGCTCATATAAGTAAGCAAGTTACTTAAACTATTAAAATTTGGAAATATATCATCTCTCTGTGTTGGGAAGTGGCATCAATTTGGGCAGTTTGCATTGGAGGTCCTACCCAGTGCGTTCTCATCCATTTGCGACCTTAACTTACTAAAATACAGCTTTGAAGAAAGTCTCTGTAATGAGACATGAATGATTGAGAGCTTAGCACAAAGACAGCATAATGTAGAAGCTGCTTCCAGAACGATTTGCCTTCCTTGGGACTGTCCCTATAGTAGTTCCATGTCTTAAAGAAAGAGGTAACCCAGGGGCGCGGCACCAGACACTGATGGCCTCCAGCTCTTTGCTTCTAGAAACTCAATTACAATAACCAACAAAAGACATAATTTGATAAATATTTCTGGGCATGTGCAACTGTGCAGAAAATGTATTTGTGCTTCAGACTGGAGGAAATGAAGTTACCATCTGGTATGGGACCGATAACTGCAACACACACAATCCCATCGGTATTTTCTTTTTCCTTTTTCTCTCTTTGGGTACGAATGGAGAAGTAATTGTTTGAGTTTTGGCTGTGATCATGTTTGTTTACTATAGATTGGATGGACTGGTGGGTAAAGTGTATATTTCCCTTCCATAAACCAAGGTTAGATAAAATATATAGTAGCTTGGTTTTTATTCCAACTGTCCCTGCTTTATGTTTTAAAAGAGCTGTTGATTGGAATTGAAGAATACATGTGGAGTATTCAAAATTTTCTGCTAGGTTTTAAGGGATGAAGATTTGGATACTTATGTTTTAAAAAGTATAACTGGAATAAATTTTTATTGAGTAATGATTTTATGGACAAGCATAAAATCACGTAAAACTTAACGTACATCTGATACTCTCTCTAAAGAATGAGGTTATAGGAGCAATATGGAGAACTGGAAAAAGGAAAATGGCATATAGGGGAATAAAAAGTACAAGTTAGAAAAATGACATAGATATACAGATGGATGAACAGAAAGAATACCGGTTAAAATTAGAAAACTTGAATCTTATTAATATTTTTTTGCTTTTTTTGTTTTTTAAATTTTATTTTATTTTTTAATATTATTTTTTAATCATTTTATTAGGGGCTCATACAACTATTATCACAATCCGTACATACATCAATTGTGTAAAGCACATTTGTACATCCATTGGCCTCATCATTCTCAAAATATTTGCTCTCCACCTAAGCCCCTGGCATCAGCTCCTGATTTTCCCTTCCCTCCCCATTCCTCCCTCCCTCATAGCCCTTGGTAATTTATAAATTATTATTTTGTCATATCTTGCCCTGTCCAACGTCTCCCTTCACCCACTTTTCTGTTGTCCATCCCCCAGGGAGGAGGTCAC